TAAATCTGACAGTGTATTTCCGGTAAAAACATAACTAGCTAACTTTTCTGTTTATGCTCTCTTACATTCAAGCCACAGTAACACTTTCACTGTCAGTAAGGACTGCTTGGCTAGTCAAAGATCAAAGAACAGATCTAAACAAAATAACCAGTCTGGACAAGGACTGAGTCAAAATCACTTTGAGAAGAGTCTCTGCTGTGTTTCATAATGCAACAGAGGATGAGAGAAACTGAGGAGAAATGTAAAATCATCCCTGACAAGACTTTGAAGACTACATACAGTCTGCAGGACTGGTTAGTAAGGAAAAAGACAAGTTACATCAAGTTACACACCTGGTAACTTCCCCCAGGTGGATGGGGCACAGAGAATGAGAAAGCCCTGATATCCTCTGGGTGGTAGTAAGAAGGCGATCCTCTTCTGTTGATACTGGACTGGGTGCTGGCACCACATGACCAGGGTGCTCTGGCCAGACTGCTGCCCTCACAGAGCAAGGATGGGCAGGAATGATTGCAGGAGTCCTGGGCTAATGGTGTTTCTGCCCAGCCTCCTGCTCCCTCTGTTTAGGAGGGGGAAGAAGGGGACAGATGCACTGCATCAAGTCATCTCCCAGATCTTTTAGTTGTGTACCACACACAAACACACACTTCCATGCTGTCAACTTTTTCTGATGGCATAACTGGAGATAAAATTACAACGAGATATAATTAAAATGAAAAAGCTGGCTAGAAGTCATTCCAGTATTGTAAAACAAGTCCCATTTATTTTGCTTATTAATTAATAAATAATTACTTATTTGCAAATACAGTTGTATTGATGGAACATGCCGATGACACACATTTTCTTGGACAGATGACTTAAGAAGGCACTGAACACCCAAGCAGGAGTTGATAAAAATCCACGTGTGTAGGCCACTTCAATTAAACTGCACTCTCTAAAACAAATCCAGCATTTTGCATGAGGAAATTCGAGCTTTTGGGACAGAGCCATGGCTGCGGGATGGCAGTCCAGGTCTGCCAGGTGACAGCTGGAGAGGAAGATATTGCAGTTGCCCCAGAAGGAGAAAGAGGGTGGAGTTCGAAGGGAGGTGGTTCTGGCCCAAGGGCCAAAGACTAAGTAAACCAGATTTGGCTTCAGTCACATCTGCCAAGGAATAACCACCACTGTAAATGAGCCTCCGGACACCCAGAAATGCAACGTGCAAAAAATGTCACGTGCAGTAGAAGGGAGCAGTGAAAGCAAAAGCCCTCTGTTCCCTTCAGCCTGCTGTGCTTCTGTGCGTGCAAAGAGCCTGCTGTGTTCTTCAGTCCTAACCACTGCTGCTGGCAAGGCAGAATTCAGCTTAGTTTGCCTCAACACATCTTTAGTTGATGATTTAATGTCACTGTTTGCATCATGAAACAGTGCTTTCCTACAACTGCTATCATGACTATTGCACATTTCCCATAGCTCCCCTGCTCCAAAGAAAAAGGTCGGTTCACAACTCTCATTTTGCCTAGTAATGACCTCTTCCATCCTAGTTTCCCACTGCAGCAATGAAAAAAAAACATCAAAAAACCCCAAACAACCAATAAACACAAATAGAAAAGGGTAAGGAAAGAAAAATATTTGAAAATATTTGTTATTTTGAAAAGGTATAATTTATCTTTCTTTTAATGCACAAACATTTTGTCTTCATCACAGGCATTACTGCTGTCTTAAATACTGATATGCAAATAGCAGTGTAATAGATATATAATTTAGAGAGAGAGAGAGAGGGTTGTTTATGTGCATGCATGTGTGTGTATACACACACACTCCCATGGCCTAGCAAGAACTTGGCCAACAGTGTGGTCTAGGCCAGAGACAGGTTTGTTAATGTTTGTTAATAGTGTTTGTTAATAACTCCTACTCAAATGGAGTCAATACCAGGCTGGGACCTGCAGAAGCACTTTCATAATATCATTCACTCTCTGTGGCAAAGTGCTCTATGGAAAGCTCTGGATAGATGATGAGAACCACTTTCATATTTGTTTTCAAAACTCCCCAGCTCTGTTTCATTTACCTACAAATTCTCCAGTTCAGAACACCTTCTGGGACAGGTGCATGTTCAGAGACACAGTTTGCTGTGAATGCAGCTCCCTTAAGCTAGCAGAAAGTATTGGCCCAAATAAATAAGTCCTACTTGAAATGTATTATGTATCCAAGTTAGGACTGTCTCCTTTTCAGATGCCCACATTTCAGTTTGCCTTCACAACAGAGTAAAAAATGCACTCTGCTTTCCTCACGTACCTACAAGTAATATATTGGAGGATCCCCTTCTCTACAGTAAGAGTTTAAGAAGACCTTGAAAAAAGGGTGCAAAGTGTGCACATCTGCAAAACAAATGACAGTTAACCAAGCAAAAGGGATTGTTTTGTAATGCAGTTGTATATTTTGCTTATCAGATTACCATTTCTTTTACATCTGTACACAGGTACTTTGTATCCAGTCTCCCCTTGGAAAGTATGCTTTTATCCTGTCCCCTGAGAGGCTACCTACTTCTTGGCTTGTGGCTGTTAAGGGCATTTCAATTTGTAATATCAAACAAAAAAAAATGGCTTGTGCACTCTGCTAGGCTTTCAGATTACATAGCTTCTGTCTAAATGTACCATGGAAAACTTTAATAGATCTATTTATATTTTAACATGTAGATGACATTCTGCTCTATACTGGATAGGCATTATGCTGTATACAGTGACAGCAACAGAGAAGAGCAATATCAATGGCACCATGTCAGTTTAGCAAAATATTTGTGATGAAAAAAGGAAAAACATTCATAATAGGAGTCATTTCCCTTAATTTAACAACTTGAAAATTGATCCTTGTTCCTAAAACACTCTTGCTTTTCAAATTCTTTTTTATTTCTTCCAAAACAAGCCCTTTTCCAGGGGAAACTGTATTTTCTAAGTTCCAAGTCTAAGTTGGTTTTAAAATTTTAATGTTTGCAGAATAGGGTCATAGGAATAATTCAGGCTGCAAGAGATCTCAGGAGGTTTCTGGATAAACCTCCTTCTCAAGGAGGATGAGCATTGAGGCCAGCCCAGGTTGTTCAGGGCTTTATCCAGTCAGGCATTGAGAACTTTCAAGGGTGGAGACTGAACAATAAATGTTTGTTCAAATATGGGCATTTGGCTGAATGTGCTCAAAACCCAAACCAAACCAGTACAAGCTTCTCCATTTCCACTCCACACCTCTGCTGCAACCATCCCTGCCAAATCACAAAATGGCAAATTTGACACAACTCTGCATTACAGGTAAAATGGACTTCAGAAAATCATTGAAGGCCAAATCCAAACCCACTGAAATCAATGAAGAGATGCCCTTAGCGCCTGTCTAGCCCTTCTGTGGGAAATGTTTTAGCAGATAGCACTGACAAAAGGAAGTGTCTGATGGGATTTGGACAGATTCTGAATGCACGGCTCTTGTCAGGGATGGAGGAAGGCTTGTAGCTGAGTTGAGGTTAGGGAAGGAGCCAAACCACCGAGTGCTGGTCTGTGCCCTGAGAGCAGACTCAGTCCTGGGAAATCTATCATAAATATTAAAGCTGGGACTGCAGGGCAGTGCCTGTGTCCCATCTCCACATTGTATTTACTAGCAAAAGGATGGATTAATCCCTTTTTTTTTTTCAGGAAGTCAAGAGTCGTTCCACTGAAAACAATCCTGTAAAAATAGCCTGCAGTGTGAATCAGGCTGAAAGTCACTGGTATAATTCTTCCTTAGAGCTCCTGCACTTCAGTTTTAATAGGGAAAAACAGTATGAAATGAGACAGAGAAAAACGAAACCAATACTTCAAATATAGATGTTTATAACCAGGCATATTACATTCAATTCTTCTATCTTTTCACCAAGGTTCTGTCATTATCTATGATGATACAAAAGAGTTTACACAAGGATGAGTGACATTTTGATACAGATCCTTCAAAGAAAAGTGATAATCCAAAGAAGCACTCTTCTAGAAATTAATACTTTGGATGTTTTGTATCTCTTTTTTTATATTATTATTATTATTTTTTTTAATCACAGAATTCACGAGACCAAAATGAAGTACAATGTTTTTCAGGTTTTAAAAATTAGTGCTGTATTTGAGTGGGAGCCTGAAAACAAAACAAAACAAAAAGCACTTCAATTATAATAAGAAAAGGTCTTCTCATCCTAGCAAAAAATTAAATCCCGTTATGGGATTTCATTCAACCTTGCTCCTTACCAAATTATTTCAGGCCAAGTGTCATGATAAGTTTAAGTTTTAAGCTGCATTATAAATAACCCCTGACTGTAAGGGAACTTACTTGGAGATTATCAAGAAGTATAAAGAATTTAGCAGCATGTTAGTGGACACTGCAAAAATATATGAGAAGTCTAGAGCAGCTGCAACTGTATTCTGGTTGTTTAAAGGTTTTTTGACATGGCTGTTGTATTGTGCATCCAGTATAAAATATTCTTGTCAATAACATCTGGGCAATCAATGTGTGCAAAAAATGAATCTTGGGTTTATGGCAGATTTGAAGCCATAAGCTTTCTACCTGTCAGTGCGGTTCAAAGGCAGTTAGTGAGGAAGTTCAGTAGATGTAGCATCTGTCCTAGGTCTTATAGGATGGACAGGATGGTCTCATAGGTTTTACTTCATGTCATAAATCATGCAACATATCTGGGCAAAAGGACACTTGCTTTGGCAATCCCAGCCATCATAATGGCAAAGCAGCAGCAAGCAGTGGCTTCTTACTGTTGTATTTATTTGTTTAGCTGGCATGGCCCTTCATCCCACTGATAACTTGGTGCTTACTCAATTTCATACTTCTTCAGAGGGATCATCACCTTGCATCTTTCAACATAGTCAGCTTTCATTTTCCTTCCCACCCAAACCACAATGAGATTCAAACATAAAGTGATGTACAAACATCAAATCTGTACGTGTTTTTGTGTGCATGTGTCTGTCCAAATGATTCTTAAAAACACTAGCTGGGATATTTTGTTACTTCGGTTTTCAAGATACTCCTTCAGCAGCAAAATCATCTAAATTGGTGAGGGACACTATATCAGTATTTGGGGTTGGGCTCATGTCCTTTTGTAAGTGAACTTGAGCTTCTTCAGCATCTTGACTGTAGGGGTAAGAGGCTGGTTCAATATAGGGCTGGGTATCCACAGCTTCAGCATGTCTGTAGTCATGCTTGCCATCTTCAGGTACTTCACCTGGTTTTCCTGGTACAGCTGGCATTAACCAGGTAGGTTCGGAGAGCTGGGAAGGTGACTTCAGCACTGCTACAGATGAAGCTGGTAAAGGCAGCACTCTAGGGTAGGAAGCATAAGGAGAATTCATAATTTCTGAAGACGGGGGCTGGTATAAGTTCTCTTTCAAGGAAGGGACTGAGACTTGAACATATTTGCCAGTTTCTGGATCATAAAATGTCTTTAAACTAACTTCAGCTGGTAAATCAACTACATAGTATTGGCCAGAGTCAGGGTCTTGGAGCAGTTTACGCTGGGCTGAAGAGGGTGAAGGGCTTATTGCTGGTGCACCACTGGGTCTTCCTGTACTGGTTTCTGTGGGAGTAGAAGTTGAGTGAGAGGCAGGATAGAGAGGAGAATATCCCAAGGATAAGGGAGATGCTAGTGTCTGTCCAGAATGAGACTTTCTTCCTACAGCATCTGTATGTTCAGTCTGATGTTTTTTCTGCTGCTCTTGCGTTTTCTTTCTCCTGCTTGCCAGCTTTTTGGCCCGCCGCAGAGCCTTTTCTGTTTTGGGTGGCACAGCGGGAGGCTTGCCTGCTGCTCTATCCCCAAGCCCTCTGGGCTCCAGGCTCTCAGCTTCCCCTGCAAAATCAGAAGGCAGATTCCCCTGTGCTGAATCAAATATCTCTTCTGTGGACACATCAGCTTGGCTCTTTAATGCCATGTTTAGCAAGGCAGGGTTTATAACATCCTCTGTCTCTCTTGTTGGCTTGCCTGATGATGAACTGGCAGCAACAGAGTGCATTGTGCTGCCTGACCTGGGGCTTGTAACAGCAGAGCATGCAAGACTGTCTAACAAAACTGGTGCACCTTCCATGGGTAGGATGTCCTCTAGAGCTTCATGGGATATAGGAGAATATGCGTGGTCCTCTAACATGGAACCAGTCACAGGGGAAATGGTCTCTCTAGTGATTATTTTTTTTGCACAAGAGCCACCTCTGCGATTAGGTAAATGATGATTCTTAAAGTAACTCATCTGGCTTTCTGTGGGATAGCTGGGGTTGTTTTGTGCTTGGTCATTTTCCAGACCTAAATTTGGCTGTGTTAAGCTGTGTCTTGCCTTCCTAGTCTGGGGCTTCTCTTTCCTTCTACAGACACTTTCCTCATTCATTTTCCCAACTTTATTTAACAAAGCACAAATCTCTTCATCTTCTTTCATTAGCTTCCCTAATGAAAAGCTCTCTGTATCTTCCAGAAGACTGGGATCCAGTGTTGCTGAAGTAGATCCAGGCTCACTGGCCTCCTTGCCTCTGCTGGTTGCTCTATCCCTTACATTCCGCTGCTCTCTGCGTCTCAATGCCAACCAGTCTACCTCCTGGGCATGCAACATGTTTTGGTGCTGCTTCTGCTCTGCAGGGGGCACAAACTTACTTTCCATTTCCTTATAACTGCTGCTCACGGTATCGTCCAGGGAAAAGGACCTGAGCAGGGGCAGCTTAACAGCCCTTATTACCTGAGGTGACCTGAATGTGTTATCTTTAATCATAAACAGACAGGGTTTGGTTGAGCTTGAAGATGGGGGTGCTTGTGGCTCCTCAGACCTGGGGATGGACAGATCCCTTACACTGTTGGAAGCAGAATCCATGCTGTTGGCCTCTTCCCTTTTCTCTCTCCTTAGTTTTTCTTTCACCAAGCTCCTCTGCTCATTCCCAGTAACTCTACCCTCCTTCTTCTCTGCTGCACCAGTACCAGAGCTGATACAAGCATAATACTGCAGTTCATCTTCCCCAACCTAAAAAATCCTTGTGGGTTTTCTTACTGTCTGCACCCATTTCTCTCTTAGTCCTCTGGCTTTCTTGAAAGCATGCATTCTGCATCAGGGGCATTGGTGGAAATGGCTCCTCCTGAAGTGGCTGCTCTACTGTGGAGACAAAAGATTGCTCTGAAGAACTACTGCTTCTTTTGCCTTGTGCTTCATGGACGGTTGCTACCATACTGGTATGGATGTCACTGTAAGGCACATCTTCTGGTGGTGAAAGTTGGTTTGTGAGTGTTTTGAAGGCAAACTCTTCATTCTGATTAGCAGCCTGTCTCTCATTTTCCTCACCCTGATCACTGGGGTTTGGCATGGGCTGCCCAGCTGTTTTATCTGCACTGTCTCTACTGAGTGGTTTCAGTGCTGGATACTGCACGTACTTCCGTAAATCAGGCTCATCTGATTCATGTCTGAACAAGGGGAAGTTTTCATTACCCTTTGTGTTTTTAACCAGACCTTTGTGTTTTGAATCATCTTGCTGCAAGTTGTCTCCAGTTTGGTAAAATAAAAAGTCCTCTGTTGTCTGGGGTGAACTCAAAGTGAGATAATTGTCTGTAAATTGTTCAGTTAAACCAGTTTTATTGTCCTTTTCGTGAACATTGCCAGACAATACTGAGGTTATATCACTCGATTCGTCTTTCTCTGCAATATTTTTGTTACTTTTTTCTTGTGAAGTCGAGAGTGAGGTATTAATTTTTGTACTCTTCTGTATATTTTCCCTAGTTTTATTTTTCTCCTCCAAGGCCCTTAACAGGGGAGAAGGGGTATAAATGCTTTTAACACGTTTACGCACATCCTTCAAGTTGAATAACAGACTCGACGCTTTCGATTTGTAACTATCCCGAGACCTGTAATCGCCAAATGTGCTCCCCTCACCATCTCTCGTCGCGGTCTCAGTGGGTGGAGGTGTCAGTGGGATCAGCTCGGTTTCCACAGGGTCTACCTCCTGTTTTGGTGGTATTATGGGTGTTAAGAGTTCAGTGATGTTGAAAGAGGGACTGATCGAGCCAGGGGAGTTTACCTGTTTAGTGAGAGGAGTCACATCCAGACCAGGCTCAGCACCAGTTGCCTTTTCAGACAATGAAATGGTCTCATCACTGGCTATGAACTTCTCCTTTGAAGTCTGTCTCTTCTCTGCTGCCCCTTTTGTAGCCCTCTGTCTCCTCCAGGGTGGACAGGTGTTGCCCAGTTGGGGACTGAGGGCCTCCTCTTCAGTTAAGGTGGCCAGGGGTCTTGGTGGTGGTGGGCTGGGTACCTGGGACATGGGTGAGGTTGAAACCACCCTGTAGGATGTGGACTGAGGTGAGATGGAGGCTTGGGACATGGCAGGGGGAGAAAGCTGAGCTGGTATTGGGGGTGGTGGCACAGGAGTGGCTTTGGG